TACATAATTCCTTGCCATGTGGATATGAAAATGCAATTCCTTTTGAATCGAATCCAATCAACAAACAAAATTGGGTGAATTATGTAAACAGTCTCTACAGCTTACATGATATGTCAATTCAGTTACTGTTGTTTTAATTTTCTCGATTTTACCTCTTAATTTAACAGATTGTGTCATATTAGTCTAATAAATAACAGTCATTAGGTTTGATGGACAAAAAGTCGTCACGTCCTCAAACGATGTGTCAATTTGGTCTCTATAATTTACACGATGTGTCAATTTAGTCCATGTAATTTACATGAGGTGTCAATTTAGTCCATGTTGTTTTAATTTGCTTAATTTTGACATGAACCAAATGCATATATAGTATAAATTACAAGATTAAATTGACGCATCGTTTAAGTTTCCATTTACTAAATCTAACGGCCGTTATTTATTGAGTCAATATAACACAATCTGTTAAATTAAAAGATAAAATTAAACAAATTAAAAAAATAAAAATCAAATTAACACATCATATAAATTTCAGAGACCATTTACATAATTTCTCCAACAAAATTTGTTATCACGCAAAGTGGATACTTTGGATCCCTGCATAGAACAAAAGATATTGTCAATAAGCAGAAGTCAGTCTTGTTTAATAACATTTTGGAAATATTTTAACGAGAAAAACTATTCTAATAGTAGTGAATCAAGCACGCAAGGAATAGAGTCATGATAAAAGATTCTGACGTCGAAAGGGACGCGGCATTACGAGCTATTCATACAAGAGCAATGTCGAGTGTCATGAAAAATATTTTATGAAAATGATTACGGAAGATTTTTAATTTTTAGGGATTATTTGGAGTATTTTAAATAAGTATATTTTTTATTTTTTTAGACTAAAAAATTAAAGAAAAAAATATGAATGTTTGAGTTAATTTTTAGATTTTTTATGAAAAAATATGTTTTAAAAAATTGTATAAATTAGTGTGTAAAGAAAAAGGGAAAAATTAGAATTGGGAGTTGTGCAACCGTAATTTTTGACTTTTGTGAATAGTGATAACTTTTTAACTTTTTGAGTAACTTTTTGACTTTTTAACTTTTTTTCAATTTGTCAATAGGGATGGCAATGGATAACCTACCCTGTGGATATCCATGGAGACCTAATCTAAATACATGGGTTTTTCCTTTTTTTTCTTATCCATTGGGTAGGGTTTTCCCCTTTTTTTTCTTATCCATTGGGTAGGGTAAGTGATATTCTTTAAATATCCACAGGGGATGGGTACCCAATAATTTCCCCATATGTTTTTTTTTTTAAAGGATTTACAACCAAAACTAAATATACATTCAATCTTTTTTCTTTTATTTATTTATTTATTTATTCAGGTTCACAACCAACCTTTTTTTTTTTTTAAAGATCCACAACCAAAACTAAATATACATCCAATCTTTTTTTTTATTATTATTTTTATTTTTAAGGTTCACAACCATTTTTTTTTTTTAAGATTCACAACCTAAGCTAAATATACATTCAATCTTTTTTCTTTTGGTTTTTTTTTAAATTTTTTTTTTTAAGGTTCACAACCTTTTTTTTTTTTTAAAGGATTCACAACCAAAGCCAAATATACATTCAATCTTATTTTATTTTATTTGGTTCAACAATAAAATCAAATACACATTAATTAAAATTGTCACATTATTCTTGTCAAATTTTAGACATATCTAGAATTTTTTAAATTTATTTAAAAAAATTAAGGACACTGTCTAGTGTAGGTTTCGATTTGCTTTTCTATGTTATTTTATTTTGCTATGTATTGTAATTTTCAGAATGGTTTACTTGTTCTGAAATTTTAATTAACGAGTATGAATCTATTTGTTTTATGTTATCACACAATATATACAATATATATATATATATATATGAATGTATTTTAAAATAAGAAAATTGTAGAGAATCGAAACAAGCATGAGTTGTGATTGGTTAGAAAGCATGGGTACAAAGATTTATTTACTGAAAAAACAAAAAGGGAATACAAAGCCTTACTAAATAATTTTTTTTAAATAAAAGAATTTTTTTTAGTTATGAATCGATTTAACTGAAATCAGCTTGTTTCCCAATGTTATGCTTCATTTATTTAGATAGAAAATATTTTTTTAATGAAAAATATTTTTTATAAAAAAAATTAAAAATATATTTTTTTTATATTTGGTGGTGGTGGTGATGGAACGAAGGTGAAAGTAAAGATTGTGACATAGAAGTGGGGTGATGGCGGCAGTGATGACGGTAGTGGCTATGGTGGTGGTAGTGTGATAGTGAAGGTGAGAATAGTGGTGATGGTGTTGTGAAATTAGTAAAAATTTAATTGAAAAAACATTTTTCGGTTTTTAAAAGTAACAAACAACAAAATTCGTGGGAGACTAAAGGAAGAAGATGGAGGAAGGATTGGGTGTGGTAAGACATAGATATCTTAAAATGAGTGGTTTAGATTTGTTAAAAGGTATAATTAGATTTTGGATAAATTAAAATGAATGGTTCAAATTTGCTAAGAGAAAGATAGTTTAATGTCTAAAATGTCCGTGGTTAAGAGATCAACAAACAATTCCTAATTTATGCCCTGATGAAATTTAATATGGGTCTTATAACACTTTCTTCAGACAGGTTCTTTCACATTTTATTTCTTCAAACAGGCTCTTATAACATTATAAACAGGTTCTTATAACATGTATGGGAGAGAGTGAGAGGGAGAGGGAGAGTGAGTGAGAGAGAGAGAGATGGTTGTAATTTTTTTTTTAATCTTCCACGTTCTTCCACATTTTTTTTTTCAATTACTAAAACTTATTTGATTGTCTCAAAATTATATATTTGGTTATTATAAAACAAACTTTTTAATTAATTAATTAATGTGTATTTGATTTTGTTGTTGAATCAAATAAAATAAAATAAGATTGAATGTATATTTAGCTTTTGTTGTGAACCTTTAAAAAAAAAAAAAACAAAACAAAACAAAAAAAGTTGTTAACATTAAATATATTAAAAAAGAAAGAAAAAAGATTGAAGGTATATTTAGCTTTTGTTGTGAACCTTAAAAAAAAAAAAAAGTTGTTAACATTAAATATAAAAAATAAAAATAAAATAAAAATGGGGATTAAAGTGGGTTGGAAAAAATTCAAACCCATTAAGAAATGAGAAGGGTGGTACCCATGGGGAATGGGGAATGGGAAAAATTTATTATAGGAGAATGGGGATGAGAAATTAATATCCATCCCATTAACCTCCATTGCCATCCTTACTTGCCAAACTTGACCTTAAATTAAATATACAATAAATTATAAAGTGTAATATAAGAATAAAGATTCATTCATGATTATTTTCATAAAATATTTTTGATCATTAGTAGTATTTTCCTTCGTACAAATGATAGATGCAAAATTTGTTCACTGTAGCTAGACCTGTAGCAACTTGTAGTCTTGTAACTAAACTCCAAAATTTTGTCTTGTTTTTATCGTTTGGCTTTGTATATCAAAAATACAGTGCTATTTTGTATTGAATCTGTGTATCTTGAAAACACTTCTGATAGGTCACATCTGTTTGGCCAATTGCCTCGAGAAATCAAGTCTCATATCCATTTGTAGAAATGTTATACATAATTTTAAACTCACACGCAAGTTATAATATAGAACTTGCTTGTATTGTATCTATATTAACACCATAGACAACATGCCAAAAAAAAAGCTCGATCATGTATAGCATTTTTTGTCCAGTAATGCTAGGTGGTCACAAATTCTGTGGCTTGAATGGCTCAAAACACTCAAAACGACGTCGTTTTGGATGCAAAACGACGTAAAACGACGTCGTTTTGACAGTTTCGGGTCATTTGAGCCACAAAATTTGTGACCCTCAAACATTTTTCTTTTTTGTCTGAAGTAATTCAGTAAGAATATAAAACAATGATTTGTTAAATTAATTGACAAAAGAAAAAAATGGACGAATATATCTATAGTTTCTGCATTTTATCATTTATGTCATTTTGGTTTCTATCATTTCAATTAGCTTAATTTTGATTTTTAATTTGGAAAATTTACCCATAAGTCCTAGTTTTTGAAACGTTGAACCATTTAGTCCTAAAAGTTTTCTTATGCTCCATTTAGTCCCATTTTTACATCAACATGATGTGAATGATGTAAATGATCTGATGTTTCATTCTATAATTTCAAAATTTATTGAAATCTGATGAACATTAGATGTTTTTCATCCTATATTTTCAAACATTATTGAAATTTGATGAACATTAGATGTTTGAAATCCAATGTTTGTAACATGACTCTGATGTTATTAACATTGTATCTGATGTTATTAACATTGAAATGGAACCTTTCAGTCTATAAGAAAACTTTTAGGACTAAACAGTGCATAAGTTATTAATTTGGGATTTATTGGTGCATCCCCCTTTTAATTTTAGATTGTGTCAATTTAGTTTAATTAATATATCAATTAAGATTTTTGAAAGAAAATGATTATTGAGTTGATTGAGATTAACTCACTAAATTGAATAAGTTAACAATTTTGCTTATAAAAACATAATCATGCTACTCAAGTATATATATTTTCTATTAAAAAAAATTATAATCAATCGGATCAAATTGAGACAATCATAAATTTATTATCAAAATTGAGTCAATTAAAATTATATAGATCAAAATAACACAAGAGTCATACTATAAGAATTACGGATGTAATTTGTCCCAAATTTTTTTATTATATTTTCGATCCTTTTTGTTTGATTAAGCTAAAAGAAGAAAAAAATGGTTTCTCTCCTATTTATTTTTTCTCCCAATCACTTGACTTTAAAAAAATTAAATAAAAAGTAAGTATTAAAATAAACTAAATTCTCTCCATTTTTTCTCCCTCTTTAAATCATTCAATCCAAACAAACTATAAAAGTTGGAATTCCTGTGTGGTTGTAAGTTCTTTTAGAACCCATAAGAGATTTCAAGTGTTCGTGGCAATGCATGCAGGGTTTGCTAACAGTACAGTGAATTATAAAGAGAGCTATAGAAATACAAAAACATACACATATGTAATATCACCCATATGTCAACACAAATAATCTTACATATTAGTAGAATAAACTTACCATAACTACATCAAAAGTAAAACAATAACAACATTTTTTAATGATCTTCTCAAAGAGCTTTGGAAACTCGTAGGTGAGTCGAAGTTCTACAAAACAAAACCTCCCAAATCTCGGTGAAAGCCTCAACAATCATCCCGTGGAAGCGTCTCGAATTCAGCGACAAGAAACACCGCAACAGCTGCTCTAAATCTTCTGCTTCAAACATCTGCTTCTCCAAAATCATCTCCATCATCGACCTCTTGAAATCCTCGTAAGGGTCCTCTGATTTCTTCACCACCGCGAAACTCTCCTTCACTTTCCCTTCCACCACACACGGTATCAGCTTCTGAAACACCGACAGTCTCGCCGGCGACTCGCTCTCTGGCGTCGACACTGATGATCTACACATAGGACGGACCCAGAATTTCAACATAATATACTACCAAATTTTTTTAATAAAAAAAAAATCTTACTTGTCTTGAAATTTTTTAAAAAAAATTACAATAAATTTTATAATTTTAATATAATTATATTGGTCTATCTTTTAGATGTGTTGTTTGGAATGATGTAAATAAATATAATTTTTAATCTTTTACAAAAAGATATGCCGATAGAAAAAAAATTGATGTAATCTGAAAAAGATAAAAAAAAAAATGCACATTTATAGTGCATTCCAAACACCATCTAAAATTAAATGAATTTAACTAATGTAGACGATGCAAAAATATAAAAATAAATAACGTAAAATATACAGTATTTTATAAATGACATGACAATATTATTTTTTTATCCATAAAAATAACAAATTATTGATTAAAATAAATTAAATTTTATATGAATTAAAATCTTAATATAAATTATGTTAAAATTGTAAAACTTACTAATATATTTTTTCCAAACAAAGTCAGTGTAATTTATCTTATATAATAAGACAAAATATCTAATAAACACGTTTCCTTTATATCATTAAAAACATTTTTAAAAAACCATAAAATTTTGAGATAATTAAAAATAATTAAAAACTATGGATCCTTGCCTGCACAAGATTTTCACATTGCGTTTCGATCTCTTCACTTTCTTTGTTTTGGGACGCCGTGAAATGGGGATCTCACGAATGGTCTCCAAGTGGGGGTTGAACTCCGACGACGAAGAGTCTGTCGAGAAGCTTCTAGAAGACGAAACTAGGGTTTCCGTTTCTTCTTCTTCCTCGGCTTCGCTGCTAAACAACCCGTTCACGGTCTCGGCCGAGGAAGTGCTCAACCGGATTTTCGCCGTCGTTTTCTTCATCTTGCTACGTCGTTTCTTCTTCTTCACCGCCGTGGGCGGTGGCGGAGGCGGTGGAGGGAAGAGGTCGGCGTCGGAGCCGCCTGAAACCGACGAGTTGAAGATTTTCCGGCGCGGTGTGCCCTCGTCGTGGACTTTGGCGATAACGTGCCACTTGTCTTCTTTTTGCCACTTGAATTGGGGTGGTGATTCGGTGAGGTCGTCGTCGGAGGGGTACTGTGCGCCGGATTTGGAGAGGAAGCCACAACCGACGGATGTGAAGGCGGAGGACACGTGGCGCTTGAAGGAGGAGGAGCGGTGGGGTTTGGAAGGGGGTGGGGTCGCCGGAGGGAAGTCAACGTGGTGGAGGGTGGGGGACAGTCGGAGGAATGAAGGGACAGGATCTTCTGGGAGGGTGGAGGGGTCTTTGGAGCGGCAGGATTGGAAGGATGGGATTACTCGGGAGATCCTAAGCTTGAAACGTTTCGCCATCTTTTCTCTCTCTCTGTCAAAAAGTGTGAACTTTGTGTCTGAGAAAAGTCTGGTTCATATATAGACAGTGGGTCGTTTGAGAGGTGAGTTGATTTTTGGCTCTTTGGTTTTTATTTTTATTATTTAAATTTAGAGTTAAAAAATTTGATTTGGGAAGAATTTTAGATTTTTTTGATTTTTTAATTTTTTTGTGAAAGAAAGAATATAAAGATTATGGGTTGGTTATGATATTTTATCTTATTAAACTAAAAAATCTATTTTATTTTTTGTTGCTAAAATAGCCAAAAAAAGTCATAACTTTTGCTTCCCAAACGAAGCCGTGTAGCAAATTAAGGGAAATTACATTTTATTTTTAGTAGTGCTATATGTACCAATTAGTGTTAGAGAAAAGTTAGGTATCATGAAAATTTTTTCATAAAAATGATCATGAATGATTTATAATTTTTAAATTACGTTGATTAGTGTGTGGTGCTTTATTTGTAAGTGTAATCAAAGAGTCACAAAGCTTTCATGAAAGATTTTTCATGATACCTAGCATTGCTGTTAATGTTATGATATTATTATTGACTATATTTATTGTACAAGTTAAAAATATCCAAAACTATATGAATGATGTAATATCATCTGTTAATACACTAATGTATACATTAATTGATACATATAACATTATTCTTTTATTTTATCATCTTCGTTTATAATTTTTGTTTTCGCTTTCATCCTTTATATTTTAAATTGCTCTAATTTATTTTGAAAGTCAATTTCTATTAAAAATTAGATAAAATTTTTTTTATTAATAGTCACGTGACATAAAAATATTTTATTATATATAACTCACACCTTTGACACAAATTCAAACTTCAATATGGCAGTGTTTGGCAAGATTTGGTTTTGGGTTTTTTTTTTAAAAAAATTTTCCACTAAAAGACAGTTCCAAACAAAATATCACATCCAACTCCATAATCATTTCACTGTTTCTCTAATAAACATCACATTCAATCACAAAAAAAACCCAACTATATCTTCTCAAACACCAAAAAAATTTTATCCAATAATATCCTACAACTGAAAAAATCTACATAAAAATCCACTTCCCAAACACCCACATAATATATTTTTAATTTTATATAACAATTATTTTGGCATTTTTGTCTAATTTTGAAAAAAAAAATTAAGAGTAAATTGAATTAAAAAAAAAAAACTTGAAATATGATGGTTAAAGTTAAAAAATAAATTAAAGGCTAAAATAAGAAAGTGATTAAAGATAAAGGAGGCAAAATGTGACAAAATGTAATTTACCTCAAATTAAAATAATTTAAGGGCCAGCTACAATTACCGTTTTAATGTTTCTAATAATTGTTGACATTCCTTGAAAATTTTAAAATTACACTAACCTCCCTTCATTATCCGACATTATGCAAATTCCCCCAAAACATTTTATCAACCCTTGTTTTACACTTTAGTCACAGGAATAATAGAAAATGGTACAAGTCCTAAATTTTTATTAAATAAATGACTAAATATCAGTCAGATTCATAAAACCTTAAACTCTACATTCATATAAAATATTTAATTATTTATTTAATAGAAATATTAATATCCCTAACCTTACCAAGAACAGTTGTGGAGCTTGTGTAGCTCCGTTTGGGAAGATGAATTTGGAGTTTTTTTTGACTATTTTAGTCACAAAAAATAAAAATATCACATTTAATCTATAATTATTACACTTTTTTTATAAAAAAAATTAAAAAATTAAAAAAATTCTTCACAAATCAAACTTTTTAACTCAAATTAAAATAATAAAAAAATTAAAAAAATCAAAAAACCAACCACCCAAAAAAGCCTCTAAGTGCTGTAGGAGCGTCATCTTTGTTTCTCTCAAATGACTCTCTCTCTCTTCATTAATGAATTAGGATTATTTTATCATGGAAACCTGAATGACAGAAGGAGCCGCCTCCCAAGAGAATTTCTAAAAATAAGAGACACACACTAGACAAGACAATGTATCTCTCTCCCTCAGTATATTTATATGCATATAGTTGTATTCTTTGCCAGCCAGCCCTACCAAATATTTTTCATAGATTTCCTTTTCATGGTTACCAAAATTATCCACTCCACCATTCATTCTTACATATGGAGGTTCCATTGTTTCTTACCAAAAAAAATATATATGCATGTCATTGTTTGTATTATTTGCTGATTACCTAACAGGTCATAACTACAATCTTCGCATGGCTGTGAAGCAAAAATATTTCATATGCATTGAGTATATGACAGGTTGGATGACATTAGGACTTCTTGTCACAAGTAGTGCTCAAATTTACACTTTGTTATCAATTCATACACTATATATGAACTGTTAGAAAAAAAAGACTTTTATTATTTATAAGTGGACTATTTTGTGTAAGTAGTGTTGAGATTCGAATACAAAATTTATTGTTTACTTGGTGCTAATTTATTTAAAAATTTAAATTACTAGAGAAAGTGATATTTTATTATTTGTAATCTCAACAGCGAAGAACTCATTGGATTGATTCTAATTTATTCACTTGAATTAGTTGATTATCAACAACATTAGATCCTCTGCTTCATGTATTTACATATACTCGATTTGATTTTTAGCAAATTTTTTTTTAAAAAAAAAATCAAAGAAAAAAAAAACAGACTGTGATTATGAGTGGTAAGATAGATGAATGAACATGTTCATCAACACATCACTCGAGGTATGCAGTTTCACCCTCTTTTCTAAATTTTGAAAAAAGATTTGTGCTATGACCTCTAGCCCAAATGAGATTGCTTTCAAGACTTTCACGAGAATGGTTGAAATGAAAGTTCAGGTGTGTAGATTGAGATTTGTAAAGCTGATAAGGTACTGAATGAAAGATCCCTTCTCCTTATATTAGGTTAGGTTGAATTAGAGATATATAATATTAATTACAATTTGTACTTCTAAAAAAAGTACATTTTTAAGAACTAATTATTTCTTTTAACTCATGAATAGAAGTTAGAAAGGCTCAAGCTTACTTCAAACAAAAAAAAAAAAAAAAAATGAAAAAGAAAGAAAGCTCTTTCAATTCAAATTGAGAAAACTGTTGATTAACATTAAATTTTAGTGATACACTTGTTAAAAATTGTAAAATCACACAATTTTGTTAAAAAGACACTTCGCACATGTTGAAAAAGTAAAATTCCAAAGGATGATGTGTGTTCATTTCACAAAGCATGTATATATACACATATTGGTTAAAGGTAATGCCATTTTGCCGATCCCAAAGTTTATTTTATAATTTTGGAAATACTATAAAATTTACAGTCCCTTCTATTGGATAAATAGCTAGCTCCAGCTACCCCTGTGAGAAAGGACGCAATAAAATTGAACAATGGTAAATTACAGTAGCTTATTTTCACATTTTAAAAAAAAAAGATAGTAAATCTTATAAGTTTAACATAATTATATGATATTTTTTAAAATTTTAATTCACATAATATTAAAAATTTCTTTTTTATCAGTCATTTGAATCTAAAAATGATGTCATCTTTTATATATTTAAATGTATGTTGTACATTGTTCATTTTTGTTTTTTTACACTATTTGCATTAGTTTTAATCTCTTTAAACTTTTTTTTTTCTTTTTTTATCATCAATTTTTTTTTTTTTATCGATGGAACTCAACACGATAACATATTCCTTAAGTACAGTCTCTTTAGACTTAAAGGGAGGTTTATGTCAAAATTGTAAAACTTGTTATATTTTTTCAAATCTCAATTTTATTTTTTATTTTTGATATATTAGGGGAGATAATTGAGTCAAATTTGTAATCTCCTATTGAAGTATACAACCTGAATACTTGACTAACCCCAATGGTTGAAATTTATAAATATTCTTTGGTATTTATTTTGTTCTAGATATTAATTATGAAACAAGTTGTACATAAATGTTTTCAAAAGCAGAAATAATATACAAATAGCATTTTTACAAATAACTAAAATGTAAAATGATGTGACCTTGATACTCCTTTCATTTCAAAACCAAGGAATAAGCTAAATATACACTCCAAATCACCCTATAAACCACACTATGTTATTTATTTATTTATTTATTTATTTATTTTTAGTTATTTATTTTTGGCTAAAGTTAGCTAGTTAGTTGTTAGGAAGTTGAAACTCACACTCATATATCTTCCTATGAGTGAAACCCAAGACCTCCTCTTAATGTGAGGTATTAATAATTCTATCAAATTAGTGTGGTATTAACTATCCCACCTCTACCCCATTACTAATAATCCTACAAATTTGTTGGATTAATTATCTATTGGATTAATAGTCCTAAACCAAAATGTCAAAACAAACATAGGATGATTGGGCCCATGGATTAATAATCCTAATCCCATGCTTTAATCATTCTAATCAAACATGCTCTAAATATACACTCCAAATCACCCTATAAACCACACTATGTTATTTATTTATTTATTTATTTATTTTTGGCTAAAGTTAGCTAGTTAGTTGTTAGGTTAACACCTTAATTAACACCTTAAGAAGTTGAAACTCACACTCATACACCTTCCTAAGAGTGAAACCCAAGACCTCCTCTTAATAGAAACTTGGTGGCCAAAGGATTAGCCAACTAGGCTAGAATTCCATGGTTTAAACCACACTATGTTAAGATTTGAAATTCTTGTCGAAAGTAACCTGTTGAAGAGGTTAATTTTACTTGTGTTTGTAGCATTATTGCAAGCATAAATGTTTTTTTATTATGACTCTCAGTTTCAATACTATACTTGATGCTATCACATCATTTTGAATGATTTTTTTTATTTGTGTACCATTTTTCATTACTCATTCAATTATCTGTACCACTATAACCATTTTACATAGGTATGAAGATTCATAACCTTTTAGTTTTTGAGTTAGATCAAATTAGTCGGTAACATGTTTAAAATATTTTTATTTTTTTAATTTTATAAAAATTGGTATTTAATGTATAACTATTTAGTGCTTTGTTGGGCTTAGTTTTTTTTATCTACCCACCAACTATTTGATACCT